CACTGTGTGGCAGGTACCGACTGATACTCCCACCATTTGTGATAAAACACGTACAGAAGTTCTTGGCGCATTTTCCATTATTTGTTGGACATTTTCTTTTAATTCTTCAGTCCGCTTTTTAGGTCGGCCGCTTCCTTCTTTTCTTGTTACACTGCCCGTTTCACGAAAAACATTAACACAACGCTGAACTGCACTTTGAAAAATTTTGTACTCAACAACGCCGGGAAATTGATTTTGAAATTCTATGAAACATTCCTCAATAGAATACTTCCATATTCCATCAATCTTGCGTCAATTTCTAAAGTAGGACTCTATGATAAACACTTTTTGTTCTTGAGAAAACACCATTTTAAACGCTTTTTAAAACGAAAATATTCAAATTGATAGCGGCGATATAGCGCTTTGACAAATGACGTTTAAGTTCATTTGCTATACGCTACGCCCTACGTCCAAATTTTCAGAACCAACTTGACCACGTTTTTATTTGAACGCTCGTTATTTAAATTTATTTTTCTTCTCTACAAAACAACTAATAGTTTATTTGATTTCAATGAAATATACGCAAAAAGTGGGGATCGTATTCGTTTTCTTTATTTTTTACTTCGAATGTAATAATATAATTGTAGTTTACAAATCATCTTTTCAATAACATTTTTAATTATCATTTTATCACCATTAGGCAATATATACAGTAAAAATACTTAAGTTGAACATTCTAGTTTTCTATAATGCATCATTGTTATTTGTATTTCTGAATTTTGCGCCACTGATATAGCTTTTTTCCATAAATTTGATCATTTTAACACGAACTTACACAGTATTCTTGATATAAAAATGTTACTATTTAAACATTAAACAGACTTACCTTTGTTCAAAATTAATTAACTTCTATCCTTTAGCTTATTTCAAAACATAACAGAATATAAAATTATTTTTTTAGTTCCTTCTTTGGAAATTATGTCAAACGTGCAATGCCATCTGATAATAGACGATGAATGTTTCCCTCTCCTTTATATAATTTTTAACGTGACTAATGTAATCTGTTTCAGTTACTAACAATATAATAGAAGAAGCGACGTATTCAGGGATAATCGATCCTAGCGCTGAATGGCACACCTTAAACCATAGAGGGCCCCGGGCACGCTTGACTTACAGGGTGCGCGTCAAATGTGATACTCATTACTACAATTCCACGTGTACAAAATTCTGTCGACCAAGGAACGATAAATTTGGTCATTTCATCTGTGATGTAAACGGAGACAAAGAGTGTATAGAAGGCTGGAAAGGTTCTACTTGTGATGTTGGTAAGTAAATATCTTTAAAATTCAAAATATATCAAGATTTCAATCGAACTTTTGCTTGTTTCTCTTCTAAACTTTTAGAAAAACATGTAAATTGTTTTGAAATACCGATGAAAGCGGAAAATAAAACGAAACGAAACTTCAAAAGTTAAACGAAATGGTGAAAAGGTTTTTATAAAAACAAATTTGAAAAAATGTGAGTGTGAGAAGGACGTAATGATAGATTAAAGAGTAATTTCGATTATAAATTAGGTTATAGGGCCTAGGTTAACTTTCCAATCACTAAGTTACAAATTAGCCCTACATTGCAATCTTACCTGGCTGTCACCTAAGATTATATGTGCTTATTTCACGAAACAGGTATTTATAGCTTATGACAAAATATTTAATATAGTTTTATCACATGCAAGGACTTTAAATTAGACTTAACTATAAATATCTTTGTTATCAGAGATCTCGTACATTATACAAGGTGTAAGAAGTTTGACTGCCATTACTTCAGTATGAGATAGAGTAATCATAAATGAACAAAAATGTTGTAGGTATATTACAGGGACGTAAAATTAACAGTTTTTAAAATACAGCGGGTATTAATATTGGGGAGTTTCATCACAACGTGACAACAGCACTTAACCTAACGCTACATAGCTGGTGCATACCACGTGTGCACGTGGCAGACTTGTCCTACGGAAAAAATGTAAACAACGATTATTGTGAAACATTTAGTAAATTTCAAGACAATTGTTTTCCAGTTTTTAAATAAATAAAATAAAATGTATCGATTTTGTAGTACGAAGATAGTGTTGTGCTTAAATTTTAGCTCGAATTTTAGTAATTATGAATCTCTTAAAACAGGAACTTATATTCTATGCATGCAGTTATGTCAATTAATCGAACTTTTGTACATCAAGTTGGAGATTTTGATAATTTTTTCTCGGAAACGGTTGAGTTTAGGACCCATTTCATATAAGGTTTTTTTTTTGTTTATTTTATTGTATTTTATCGTCTGTTAAAATTAATTCAGTCTGGTTTATTTAAATCTTCTAAATTATTTTAGCCAAATTTTGCTACGAGTTTTATATTATTTGCAAGATCTTTACTCTGTTTTTAATTTTGTTTCTTAACTTTGCTCCTTCCAAGTCCAATTTGATTTATTTTATTAATAAAAATAGCTGAAAGAGAAATAGAAATTTAATTTTTCATGAAATTTCCTGTTCTTTAACTACACATCAATAATACAGAATAAATAATTGCATCTCTTTGATATGGAATTCAAAAAATTGTTTTTAACAATTCCTAATAAGAATAAGAAACTAAAGGCTATATTTCCAAGAAATCTTTTTTTATACAGGGTGATTCATTAACAATGGGAAAATCGAAAGCTGAAGATACTACACGTGAAATGGTGACCATTGACACAAACATGCCTTATCCGAAAGTTGATAGTTTCGGAAATACAGGGTGTTGAAACTTGAAATTTTAAATCGTTTCTTTGCGATTATTCTGAAAATATGTAGGTTAGGAACTTGAAAATTTGTGAAACTATATTTTTTTAGGCGACGAATAAGATGCGTGTTTTAAATTCAGCGTTTCTACTTCTACTCTCTACTACTATTCTTTATGCGGCCTGTTACAATATACTTTCTTCTATTTCCAGCTGCCTGTAAACCGGGATGCCATCCTGTCCATGGCAAATGTGACAGTCCTGAAGAATGCATGTAAGTAACAAAAAGTTAATTAATAAATTTATATCCACTTTGTTACTGACGTACATTTAATCTTGATAGTTTTACATAATTTAAGATCCTCGTGTAGTTTACCATTTAGAAGTTAAGAGCCATGTTCACACTTGATTCAAATTTAATTACTTGCCGGTTAAACCGATTACGAGTATGTATTCGGTTCTTAGAATTACAGCAGATACCCAAGTAGATTGTAGGAACTTCTGTTATTTTATACTGGCACCGCCCATTGCTTTCCTTTTATAATTAATGTTGGATGGTTCACGAAAACTTGATATTATCTGGATTCTATGTGTACTATAAATAACTTTCAGTAACGAACTAGAATTATGATATTTTGAAACGTGGTTGCAAAATTATTAATCACGAATAGCAAATTTTTACATAACAATATCTGTATTGTGGGATTCTTGTTAAGAAAGTTATTTAATTAATACCTGTATAGGGAAAACTACTTTGATTTATTGTCGATTCTATTGAAACGTCTAAATTTATTAATGAATAGAAGGATTGAAGTGCCAATAAAAGAATACCACTTTCTATAAACAAGATATCAAATCATAGGGAACGCTTGCTAATGTAGTATTGTCAAAAAATTAAAAATGATTCAGTTTATGTCACATGGTTAATAAATCCATCAAAAGTAGGTACACTTAGGCCTTTTTAATTTGTGGAGAAAACAATTTATTTTACATTAGTAATAAAAATCTACTGTGTCCTTAGAAATTATAAGATTTTTCTCTGCAGTTGTATCATATACTAGTCCTAAAGAAGATTTCAAAATAAATCGAAACGTGGACAATATATTTTTATAAAAAAAGTAAAATACTGCAGCGAAAGTCATCCTAGTGTGCATTGTTTATAAATTTGTTCACTTATTAGTTTCATGATGATTCTACATTCGTTCTTAAGACGTTCAGAGATTGTTCTTTTAAAAATAAGAACAAAAAGTCTTTTTGGCAAAACCCATTTATATTATTCAAAATCCGACTCAATACAGTGATTTGAACGGTCTAAAAGCATGTCGAGTGTCAAAGTCACACGGTGCCAAAGTGGTTGACAGTTAAAATACGATCTTTAGTCAAAAAATTGGTCACAAGTGTCGATCGATGAGATGGAACATTATCGCCCAGCAAACGCCAACGTCCTTTTGCGCGATATTCTGGGCTAATACGACAAATGTGATGCACCAAAACGCTTCAAAACGCCAAGATAGAATTGTGCATTAACGGTTTGTTCCGATGGAACGAACCATTTGGGGACAATGATGCCCTTGGAATCGTAAATGCAAATCAACATTGCCTTTACTTTTGACATCTCCAACCGAGAAATTTTGGGGTTTGGTTCGTGTGGCACCTTCCACTCGATACTTTGGCGCTTGGTTTCTAGATCATATTGAAAATACTACGTTTAGTCACAATGTTGTAAAGGAAGTTTTTGTCTTTTTTGGCGTCCTTAATGTCCTTCAAATGTTGAATTCTGAACAATTTTTGGTCCAAAATATTATGAATTGATGTTTTTGAAATGCTCAGTTCCAATTCCATGAATTTCAATGGAGATTTTGTTTGGCCAACATGTCCTCACGACCGTTTTTAAACCATGAACTCTGCCACGGGATAAACAATCATCACCATAAACTTGGTTCATCAATTGAAACGTTTAGGTAAAAGTTTTATCAAGTTTAAAACAACACTTAATATTAGCTCTGTATTCGATGCTCATTTTTGTACCGATAGCACAAACATAATGTCACTTCAGGCGCAATAACTTTGCTTTTATTCGTCCAAATGTCATAAAATTTTAGTACATCAGTGAAGAATCTAACTTTTCGACGCATGTAATAGATGCCCTCACTAGAAATACCTATTTTTTAAAAGTCCTGTTTACTTTGGGACGCATCGTGTATACTGTTCTTAGAAATCTATGGAAATTTCGGAAAGCAACGAAAAATATACGAATCGCCACGCCAATGCGCCGGAAGAGTTTTTTGAAGGTTAAGTTGTAATTTGTTATTGCGAAGTGTCAAAGTTGTCAAAATTTGTTGCGTACTAAATTGTGCTAAATAAAGAAAATCCGGTACAATATTTTCGAATTAATACTGTTAATTATATGTAATAGTCTTAATAGTAGTAAATAATGAAAACAAAAATTTGACATTTATGCAGCAAAATAAGTTGGTACGTAATATCAACGTTGCCAGACCTCATTCTCAGTCTGAACTCATTCTCTGTCTTTGCCAGTCCTTCTGCGGACTCTCTTCTCGATCTGCGCATATCGCAGTCAAGATCGCATATCGTAAAGTAACCATAAACTCGATACATTAGTAGAAATAGATTCAAATGACGTACAGATCGCCCAAAAATTATACAATTTTCAACTCTCAACTTCATTAACTAATAACTCTAAAGTATCAGTTCGAATTAAAAAAAAACTGTATAAACTTATTATTAGGTTATTTTCGCAAGTCCTACCCAAATCTGAGAAATTGACCACCATTTCCTAGACACCCTGAATGGCCATTTTAATATCAGCAGGTTTAATAGTTATTTTTGTATCTAGTGCGCGAAATACTAATTCGGTGATCGAGAATTGAATTTTTTAACGAGGCGAAGCCGAGTTAAAAAATTATTCGAGACCACCAAAGTAGTTCGCGCACGAGATGCAAACAATATTTTTTCTACAAACGTCAAAATCTATCTCTTAAAAATATTATAAATAAGTAAAATGCCTAATTTATTATAGAAAATAGTGTTGAGCTGGCTTAAAATGTCTTTCCTAATCAAATTTTCACTGTTACTATGGAAACAAAGTGGCTGTTGTTGACAACAATAATAATTATTTTAAAGTGACGTTTGTGCTCGCGTCTTCAATTTTTAAGTGCCAGATATTTAAAATAATGGAAATTGCTAGTGACGATGAACTGAGTAGCACCCCACCTAATTTGGCACGAGATGCAAACAATATTTTTTCTACAAACGTCAAATTCTATCTCTTAGAAATATTATAAATAAGTAAAATGCCTAATTTATTATAGATTTGGCTATTGTAAGTAATAACTAGTTATTGTAAAATTTTATCATTATTTTAAAAGTATTTAATTGTTATTCATTTAAAAATAAACAATAATTTGGAGTTTTGCTTCATTTTTTCAAAGATTGAAATACAAAACTCTTATTAATTTACATGCAGTGTGCGAAATACTTCGCACCCTAGTGCGCGAAGTATTTCGCGCACGGTGTCATGGTAACGTAAGAATCCGAAAAAAGTGTCACTTCGCATATTGTTGTCAATGCGCAAATCTTGTCATTTTTTGACGTTTGTAAAAAAAATATATAATTTGAAGTAGGCATTTAATGTTTTTCTTTTAGAAATTGATGAAATGATTCATGTAATGAGAATAAGTTGTTATCTGACTATAATCTGAAAATTTCCATACCTGCATATTATATTGTTGCTTATAATTTAATTTAAATTAAGGATAAGTTAAAAAAAGTATTGGTTGTTAATAGTTAGAATTGCATTTCTTACGTTTTTCCAATGTAGTTATTTACCAACCTAGAATAGATTCGAATAGATCTACAGATTAATGTTACTAATTAGAGAAAAATGTTTCCTTGGTTCATAAAGTATGTTGACATATACGGTAACCAAATCAATAAATTCGTTTTGAAAAGGAGCGCAGAACATTTCCGCAAAAGATTACGAAACCTTTCTCACGTATACGTTACTACGGACTCCTAATCTAAATCTGATTTACTTCTCCAGTAATTGACGTATTTTCTTCATGTTCGGTACAATTTATCCGGCAATTGATATAATTTAATCTTAGTTGGCAGGATGACTTTTCGCGAAGAACATGGTTGTTCAGTCAATATGGTCTTGCTATGAACTACGTGATGCCATGTTTCTCGAGTTAAATATTCTTCCGCGCTAAATTTACAACGTCACTTAAATTCAGAATACGTGCCGTGACCTCCGTGAGGAAACGTTGCGAGCCTTTATAAAAATTCTCTGACGTGCTCGGATAGTCGTAAAATTAATTGGGAATGATTAATTATCCTTATTTTTCTGTTTGCGGGCTACATGTTTCTGGTTATTTTTAGGATTATAAAAAATAAACACGGTCATAAAAAGGTATACCTATGCAGGTGAGTATTAATTTTCAAGCGTGTACGAGGTTTCTCACTAAGAATTATCACTTTTTTAATTTTTTACTGCAGGAAAAAACTTATAAAAGTCTGGGATCCTTTAGGCCTTCTAATTTATTTTTACAAAAATACAATTGAATGTCGAATAGTATCTAGGTAATGTTTAGATATGTTAAAATTTCAAATATTTTTTAACCTTTTAGTTTTTGTGATTTCAACAGTACAAAAATATATATTTTTTTAATTTTTTAGATTCATCTACTTTTTCATAACATTGTTCTTTAATAGTCGTGATTGGCTTAAAATTTAATAAGTATTAGATGTAAAATATAAAAGTCTATTAAAAGTTTAGTCTAAGTTAGTTTACCACATTTCCGATGTAGTAATTTTAAAGACCGATGAAATATCTTAAAACCTCTTATTCCTCGTCGGTATCATTAACCGATTTCAAGAAACAACGCGCTTAGTGTTTTGTAGCAACGTTTTTCATTCAGATCCCGGATTATTAGTAAGGCTGTCAGAGAGAGCCGCAAATCAATGACGTTCCAAGCGGGTCAACCGATGTTTTTCACATTCACATCACCTTAATATACTGTTGACTTTGTTATCGTGCGGATGTTGCGTAATTAATTTCTATCCATTGGTGTTTTCGGTGGTGTACTGTAGACAACTTAATGTATTGCTTTTTAATAAACAATGCGTACGTCTATGTCCCACGGCTCAGTTCTGACAGCCCTAATTATTAGTATTTTCAAATTTGGCAGATTTTATACATAAATTGTTCAATGTACCTAATTATTTACAGTTACAAAATACTTTTCTTTTATG